TGACTTCCGCGAAGTAGAGAGACCGCGAACCTCCCACGATGCGGAACGACAGTAGAGCACAGCAGCAACAACAACTGCAGCTCTCCACCAACAACCGCACCACCGCCTACCGGCGCACCACCCGGTGCAACCGGCCAAACCCAACTGCAAAGGGGCTATGCACGAGGACCACCTCCGCTAAGTACTGTCCTTCTCCTAAATGCTTCACGAACAAGAGCCCTACTGAAACACAGCCTACTGCGACATACTGGGAAGCACGCTAACATGACGACCCGCTGACACGAAAGGAGCTTTTCTGCCAAAGGCGTTGTCTCAGCCTCTCAGTTGGTGAAGAAGGTGGCGAAGGAGGTCGGTTCACCACTTAACGTTAGGGCGAATGCCGTACAGCCCAGGAAGAGTGGTGGGTCATTCGTACACCATATGAGGCGGAGAGGGAGAGAATCTTGACCAATAAGAACTGTGATGGATAAGCTTGGTCCGAGATGCCTCCTGACGAGTTCATGGAGGAGATGTATGATATGAACTTCAAAGATAGTATGTCAGTTGAGACGAATAAGAAGTGCGTGAGGTTGGCGAGTGGTCCGTGGAAACTTCCAGTGAGCGGAGACACTGGGACCAACGTTGTGTTATAGCGCACGGGGTGCACCGTTTGTGCGGGCATGGTGGGTCTAAGTGTCAGGGTACGGGTAGCGTAGAAGCTCTACGACAACAAACTCGGGGTGGGCAGAGGGCATAGGACTTCTGTTGGGAACCTTCTTTCCGGATTTGTTGATTAAATTAGGGAGCCTCCGGGTTTAGATCGTATAGATGTTGTGGACAGTATCTGCCGGGTTAGAAGTAGAAAATTGGTAGGCAAGGATGGTGAAAGGGAAAGGGAAGTTTATGCTGGAATATATCGAACCCGTTTTCTCTAGCTGCATTCGCCATGGATACTTCCCGTTTGTTTGGATGTGTGACCGAGTTGTGTTACTTAAGTCGCCTGATCGTGTGAGGAGTGATCCTCGCTCGTATCGGGGTGTAAGTCTTCCAATCTTGGAAAAGTGCTGGAGTGGTAGCACGGCTCACAGTGGGAAAAAATACCGATCTAGTGCGCAGAAAATAAAAAATGAAGTTGAAGGAAACTTTAAAACATTAATGCAGTTTTAAAGTAGAGTGTTGGGAGTATTTAAGTCCGTATAAAATAATCCGAATTAATAAGCTAGAACGGAATAACGGAACATTTAAAATATAAATGTTTTCCAATGTTAAAAATGGTATTTTTTAGCTATAAAATTGCTATAAAATTTTGTCCATTTTGATATATAGTATTGGTATTTAATTAAATGGTTATATAACCCATAAGATATTTTAATTTAGGTGTTTCGGGCTAAATATATGTAAGGTCCGTTTTTTTTTTTAAATTCCTTCAATTAAAATAGTGGTTTAGTATGGAGTGCAGTCGAGTTCAGCGTTAATTTTTGTTTTATTTTTCTTGTGTGTCTGTCTAGAACATCGTACTAAATGTTTTCTTCCGACTCTCGTATTTATGGCAATTTATTGAAAAAATGCCAATTTGGTGTAGGAAGTTTTTTTTAAGTTTTTGTTCAAATAAAATTAAAAAATTGTAAATTTTTTTGATATAATTCATCAAATATGACTTGGAATAGATCACAGCATAGCATATAAGAAAAAAAACAAGTTCAAAATGTCCGTCCTAAGGTTCCAGAGTAATGGGTGTGAGTATGAGGGTATTTAAGAAAGCTGCTCCAAACATTGATTTTAAACTCATGCACTGAATATACATTTATTCCAAATGTCTTTCAAAATAAAATATGAAATTACAACGAAATCGGTTGTAAGAGTCTTCTCAAATACCGCAGATAAAGGGTCTACTTTATGAACCCTGAAAAAATATCATTGGTGTAACATTCATATATACACGGTTTTACCTACATTTATGGTTTTCGCTATAAGCAAATTACAAAAAAATTTCGTCATTAACACCAAACATCAACTTATACGAATACGGTCTGTCTACCTTACATGCAAGGATTCGATGTTTAGAACGTATATTGCCCATTTCATACCGACTGGTTTTGAAAAAGTGGAAAATTAATAGCTCCAATCGGCCACTACCACTACCTAACATGCAAGAATTCGATGTTTAGAACGTATATTGCCCATTTCATACCGACTGGTTTTGAAAAAGTGGAAAATTAATAGCTCCAATCGGCCACTTTGAAGGAAGAAATGCACATTATTGTTGACACACCTAAGTCAGTGTCCGGAACAACAAACGATGGCAATACTGCTAGGCGTTTTGTAGCCATCCTGGCTTTGCATCGTCGATAACTGGTGTTGATGAAAAATTAATTAAAAATGTTGGATCATCCTTTCAACCATGGCCTGTGAATATGCTATTAAAGCAGAGTCATTTGAAAAACATACTGAGGAAACATTTATTTTTTCGTGGAATTATATCCTTGGTTCTATATGCCTTCAAGCATACACAAAATATTAGTGCATGGAGCTGATAAAATTAAATGTGCAGCTTTGCCCATAGGAATGTTGTCTGAAGAAGCCATGGAATCCAGAAGTAAGGACTTTCGTAACTACAGGGAACTGTACACCAAAAAATTAGTCGTGAGGAAACAATGAGGGATCTTTTCAATACGTTGTTATTTTCTTCTGATCCAAAAATATCAAGTTTGTCTCGTAGTACATCTCTTAACCATCGATATAGTGAGCCACTATCTGAAGAAGTCCTTAAACTACTGGAGGATCCAATGCTACCAATTAATTCAGATCAAAACTCGGATTCTGAATGTGATTAGTATTTAATAAGTAACGCCTAAATTTTGTAAAATATATAAAGTTTAATGTTTTAGATATGTTATATTAACAATGATAAAGATATATAATAGTAATAGAGTTTGCCCTTAACCCACTTTTTACCCTCCAAATATTTCGGAATTTTTAAAAGAAGCTCCCATTTTAGGAGTACTATTAGTTATAACGAAAAGTGTTGCTTACTATAAAATGTTTCAAATGCTTCAAAATAGTAATTTTCACCTAAAAATTTAAGTTTTTTCTAAAAAAAAAATGGGCTAATAAAAAAATTGCCAAATTTTATCATAAAATAATTAAAATTGTCCATCTTAATCTATTCTTATCCAACATATCGATAAACATACAGTAAAACATCTACTTTTATTTTCTGCGCGCTAGATCTGCATTTTTTCCTACTGTGCGGCTTAGGGAATGTTACAGCGAAGGTTCGGCTTGTATCAGTTCGGTTTTACCAAGGGTAGAGGTACCGTGGACGCGTAGAGCATGTGCAAGATAGCCTGAGTTTGTCAAATACCAAATATGTCCTTGGCATATTTTTAAATATCTCGGGTAATCTCACTTTACCCGACCTCTAAAAAACGTCTAACTCACTTTGGGTGAGTTATTTCCGAGATAGGAAGACTGTGTCGTGGGAGCCAGTACTTCGTCTGGAGAGATTGTCAATTTGTGGTACATATATATGGAACCTATTGGTGGATCCTCGGTTGCGGAAGCTAACTGCCTCCATAAAGGTTTGCGCATATGCGGATAACATACTTACTGAAGTAGATAGTCTCCTTTATTGAAGTAGATAGTCTCCTTGAACTGGTTGGCACACAACGGTCCTCCCTTTATTCGAGCTGAGTATCTGTAAGATATATGTGCCAGACCAAATTTATTACTCTACATAAATCATTTTATTTTAATTGCTTTACATAAATGACGTCATTGGTCAATATTGATGACTCATCCCTCTCTTTTCCTCTTGGTGTGTTGTGTGATAATATTGTGTTCTATCTCTTTCCCTCTTATTGTTTTATGCAGTCTGTTCCGTATATTCTTTCGACTTTGCCCAATGTGGTCCATTTATATGACTTTAATGCCTCTGAAATCAATAGCGCGTGTGTCCCATATTTGTTCTTCCCACTTTCTTCTGTATATTTCCCGTAAGCTTATGCGTGTTCCCCCTTTCCCTATCCACTTGTTTTCTTTTTTGTCTTCCCAATGGTGTCCATCACCCAGGCCAAATTTATTACTTTACATAAATTACATTATTTTAATTGCTATACATAAATGACCTTGATGACCCTGAAAGTTTATTGGCCCCTGAAATCAATACCGCTTGTGTCCCATATTTGTTCTTCCCCCCTTTCTTCAGTATTTTTTTTGAAAGCTTATATGTGTCCCCCTCCTTCCCTATTCACTTGTTTTCGTGATGTTGTTGTTGTTTCCAATATGAATCCACTGCTTGTAGCTTGTTAGAATTTACAAGATGTAATGTCTGTCCATTGAGCCAATGTGAATCTTAAGTCTCTTATCAGCAAGTGTTTGTTGCTATGATTGGAGAGGCGCCCATCGGTCTATAGATTCTACCAAGACCATACGTCTGTCCCACCATTGATTATACGTCATATTATTATGTTTTCTAATATTTTATGTATCTCTAAATCAATTGTCCCCATAGTTTAAATTTTACATAGTTACCTACATCTAGTTAGTACTTTACTTCTTCTGCTTGAGAAAGCAACCTTTGCGGTATCAATATCTTGCGGTATCAATATCTTACAGTATCAAAATCTTGCGGTATCAATATATTGCGGCATCAATATCTTGTGACATCAATATCTTGCGATATCAATATCTCGCGAAAACTTATTGTGAAAAACTTATTGTTCTGAAAAAAACATATTATTGTGAAAAAAACTTATTATTGTGATTTTTTTTTCAATATCTTGCGACATCAATATATTGCGATATCAATATCTCGCGAAAACTTATTGTTCTGAAAAAACCTAATTATTGTGAAAAAACTTATTATTGTGATTTGTTTGTATTAAATTTATCAATCAAAAATGGCAAAATTCGTATGCAATTTCTGCTTAAAAGAATTTAATTTTAATTCAGCTCTAAAACAACACATTAAATATCATGAAATTTGCAATAGAATGTTTTTACATTCTCAAGCATTAAAAATGCACTATAATATAAATCACCCTGAATATTTGCGAGAACAACAAGAAAGAGAATATAACCGACAGCATCAATTACCTCAACCACAAGGAATATGGCAACCTGCTACGGAGTATCCACATTCATCATCCAAATTATGGTATCAACAACAGCAACATCAAGAATACATGCAGCAACATAATATGCAACAACATACACGTCAGCCATATGAGCAACAACAACAATTACCTCCACCACAAGGAATATGGCAACCTGTTATGGAGTATCCACATTCATCGTCATGGTATCAACAACAACATACAACTCAGCAACATCAAGGATATCTGCAACAAAATAATGTGCAACAATATACATCTCAGCAATATGAGCACCAACAACAATTACGTCCACTACAAGGAATATGGCAACCCGCTATGGTGTATCCACATTCATCGTTATGGTATCAACAACAACAACATACAGCTCAGCAACATCAAAGATACACACAACAATATAATGTACAGCAACAGCGACAACATACACCTCAACAACTAAATAATATACAACAACAACATACACCTCAGCAGTATAAAGGATATTTGCAGCAATATACACCACATCAATTAAATCAACATGTTCCTTCAGGAGGAGAGCAGCAAGAAGTAACTGAAAATGAAACCATGAAATTATGCGAATACTGTAAAGTCAACGTATTAACCAAAAGGTGCTGCTGGAGGAATCATAAATGAGGACATGTCTCTAATAAGGAGTGGATTTAGGAATAGAATCCAAACATTCCAATATAAAATGAAAGGAGACACATTTGAAGACACGTTGAAGAAGTATTCGCAAATGCAACAACAGTTCTGGTAGAACAGCTTGAGGATGCCTTAATCCGACATAACTTCATAAAATTCTATTTAGAGCTTGATGGTGATTACGTCAAACTATCTGAAGAAAATGTTAAAACAATAACAATTTTCCATAACACGAAAATGACTGAACTCTCACGAGGCTACGAAATAGATAAAATTTTATAGGAACATTTTGATTACATTAAAACCAAAATGTCAGAGTTCCAAGAAGGTGATTCTGGTTGGGCTATTTTAAATATTACTAGTTTGAAAATCCATATTAATAAATGTGCTCCAATGCAAGGATCGCAATATATACCAACTCCATATGAGCTGAAAGGTAGACAGGCATGCATAAACATTATAAATAATGATATATATTGCTTCAAGTGGTGTATGATAGCTGCTTTACAAACAACATTACCACAACATCCTGCGAGAACTTCATCATATAATATTAGTGATATTAGTTCACAAAATATTTCTTTAAGGAATGGAATTGTCTTGAATTTTGAAGGGAAACAATTCCCCATGGAGGTTAAAAGTATTAAGTTACTTGAAGAAAAAAATCCATATATTAGCGTTAATGTTTTTGGATTTGATTATTCTTCAAAATCGGTTATTGGACCGTATTATATAACTAAAACGGAAAAAGCTATACATGTAAACTTGATGTTGCTGGAGAATTGAGATAGAATACACTATATCCTTGTGAAGTCTTTATCAAGGTAAATAATATATATATATATATATATATTTAATTTAAAGATTTATTATAATTTTAATTTTAATATATTTCTTTATATAGATTGATCCGATCTCAACTTACTAAATATTGCAAGCAACTATATGCTTGTAACCAGTGCCTGTATTATACAAGTCAGATGGACTTGTCGGAGAACCACAAGAAATGGAGAGGTCGAATTATAGCCAGAATGCCGGATGCGGGTAATTCTTTTATATTATTTAAAAATTAAACAAGTGAAAAAGCATTAAGTTCGGCCGGGCGAACTTTGTATACCCTCCACCATAGATATACTGACAGGTACTAGAAATGAAAATAAAGGAAACATACCAAAAAGTGGACCTATACCGACATGTCTAAAATCGGATTATGTAAACCATAATACAAATTTCAAAAATTTTTAATTGATAATTCAAATTCGAAGATGGGGAATATCGGTCCACTCCTTCTGAAACCTCCACAGAGGCTAGGTCTAAATGCGACTATAGTTTATTATCGAACCTTACGTTCTAATTTTTTACATCGCTATCCTCTGCAGGTGAAATGATTACACTAGAGTCTTAGAACCAAACTCAAAACGCGGAACATATCAGATAACTATATTAATATAAAAAAGGGGGTTATATGGGGACTACCCCAAAAAGGGGGCGAATATTAATAATTTTTGGTAGAGAGATTTGGTACCTATTAAGAACTCAAAATACTAAATTACAGCTAATTCGGCGGAAAAATACGATCAAAACCCCCAAAATTCTAAAAATTGGGAGGTACCATTATATAGGGGCTACCAGAAAAAGTGGACCTATATTTATAATTTTTTGTGGAGACTTTAAGGACCCAATAAGAACCCAATGTAGCAAAGTTCAGCGAAAAACGTGCTCAAGAACCCCAAAATACCGAAAATTGGGGGGTACCCTTATATGGGGGCTACCCGAAAAAATTGACCTATATACATAATTTTTTTTTAGAGAGGTTTGGTACCTATTAAGAACTCAAAACACTAAATTACAGCCAATTCGGCGGAAAAATACGACCAAAACCCCCAAAATACTGAAAATTAGGAGGTTCCGTTATATGGGGGCTACCAGAAAATATGGACCTATACTTATAATTTTTTGTGGAGACATTTAGTATCCAATAAGAACCCAATGTACCAAATTTCAGCGAATTCGGCTGAAAAAGGCGCTCAAGAACCCTAAAATACCGAAATTTGCCGGGTACCCTTATATGGGAGCTATGCCTAAACGTGGACCGATATATCCCATCTTCGAACTTGACCTGCCTGCAGACAAAAGACAACCCTATGCAAAATTTCAGCACCCTATCTCAATTCCTTCAGAAGATAGCGTGATTACAACAGACGGACGGACATGGCTAGATCGTCTTAGAATTTTACCCTGATCATGAATATATATACTTTATAGGGTCGGAAATGAATATTTCGAGGAGTTACAAACGGAATGACAAAATTAATATACCCTCCATACTATGGTGGAGGGTATAAAAAAGGGGGTTATATGGGGACTACCCCAACAAGGGGGCGAATATTAATAATTTTTGGTAGAGAGATTTGGTACCTATTAAGAACTCAAAATACTAAATTACAGCTAATTCGGCGGAAAAATACGATCAAAACCCCCAAAATTCTAAAAATTGGGAGGTACCATTATATAGGGGCTACCAGAAAAAGTGGACCTATATTTATAATTTTTTGTGGAGACATTAAGGACCCAATAAGAACCCAATGTAGCAAAGTTCAGCGAAAAACGTGCTCAAGAACCCCAAAATACCGAAAATTGGGGGGTACCCTTATATGGGGGCTACCCGAAAAAATTGACCTATATACATAATTTTTTTAGAGAGGTTTGGCACCTATTAAGAACTCAAAACACTAAATTACAGCCAATTCGGCGGAAAAATACGACCAAAACCCCCAAAATACTGAAAATTAGGAGGTTCCGTTATATGGGGGCTACCAGAAAAAGTGGACCTATATTTATAATTTTTTGTGGAGACATTTAGTATCCAATAAGAACCCAATGTACCAAATTTCAGCGAATTCGGCTGAAAAAGGCGCTCAAGAACCCTAAAATACCGAAATTTGCCGGGTACCCTTATATGGGAGCTATGCCTAAACGTGGACCGATATATCCCATCTTCGAACTTGACCTGCCTGCAGACAAAAGACAACCCTATGCAAAATTTAAGCACCCTATCTCAATTCCTTCAGAAGATAGCGTGATTACAACAGACGGACGGACAGATCATGAATATATATATATACTTTATAGGGTCGGAAATGAATATTTCGAGGAGTTACAAACGGAATGACAAAATTAATATACCCTCCATACTATGGTGGAGGGTATAAAAAAGGGGTTTATATGGGGACTACCCCAAAAAGGGGGCGAATATTAATAATTTTTGGTAGAGAGATTTGGTACCTATTAAGAACTCAAAATACAAAATTATAGCTAATTCGGCGGAAAAATGCGATCAAAACCCCCAAAATTCTAAAAATTGGGAGGTACCATTATATAGGGGCTACCAGAAAAAGTGGACCTATATTTATAATTTTTTGTGGAGACATTAAGGACCCAATAAGAACCCAATGTAGCAAAGTTCAGCGAAAAACGTTTATTATTATTTATAATTTTTTGTGGAGACATTAAGGACCCAATAAGAACCCAATGTAGCAAAGTTCAGCGAAAAACGTTTATTATTATATAGAGGCTACCAGAAAAAGTGGACCTATATTTATAATTTTTTGTGGAGACATTAAGGACCCAATAAGAACGCAATGTAGCAAAGTTCAGCGAAAAACGTGCTCAAGAACCCCAAAATACCGAAAATTGGGGGGTACCCGTATATGGGGGCTACCCGAAAATATTGACCTATATACATAATTTTTTTAGAGAGGTTTGGTACCTATTAAGAACTCAAAACACTAAATTACAGCCAATTCGGCGGAAAAATACGACCAAAACCCCCAAAATACTGAAAATTAGGAGGTTCCGTTATATGGGGGCTACCAGAAAATATGGACCTATACTTATAATTTTTTGTGGAGACATTTAGTATCCAATAAGAACCCAATGTACCAAATTTCAGCGAATTCGGCTGAAAAAGGCGCTCAAGAACCCAAAAATACCGAAATTTGCCGGGTACCCTTATATGGGAGCTATGCCTAAACGTGGACCGATATATCCCATCTTCGAACTTGACCTGCCTGCAGACAAAAGACAACCCTATGCAAAATTTCAGCACCCTATCTCAATTCCTTCAGAAGATAGCGTGATTACAACAGACGGACGGACGGACAGACGGACGGACATGGCTAGATCGTCTTAGAATTTTACCCTGATCATGAATATATATACTTTATAGGGTCGGAAATGAATATTTCGAGGAGTTACAAACGGAATGACAAAATTAATATACCCTCCATACTATGGTGGAGGGTATAAAAAAGGGGGTTATATGGGGACTACCCCAAAAAGGGGGCGAATATTAATAATTTTTGGTAGAGAGATTTGGTACCTATTAAGAACTCAAAATACTAAATTACAGCTAATTCGGCGGAAAAATACGATCAAAACCCCCAAAATTCTAAAAATTGGGAGGTACCATTATATAGGGGCTACCAGAAAAAGTGGACCTATATTTATAATTTTTTGTGGAGACATTAAGGACCCAATAAGAACCCAATGTAGCAAAGTTCAGCGAAAAACGTGCTCAAGAACCCCAAAATACCGAAAATTGGGGGGTACCCTTATATGGGGGCTACCCGAAAAAATTGACCTATATACATACTTTTTTTTAGAGAGGTTTGGTACCTATTAAGAACTCAAAACACTAAATTACAGTCAATTCGGCGGAAAAATACGACCAAAACCCCCAAAATACTGAAAATTAGGAGGTTCCGTTATATGGGGGCTACCAGAAAATATGGACCTATACTTATAATTTTTTGTGGAGACATTTAGTATCCAATAAGAACCCAATGTACCAAATTTCAGCGAATTCGTCTGAAAAAGGCGCTCAAGAACCCTAAAATACCGAAATTTGCCGGGTACCCTTATATGGGAGCTATGCCTAAACGTGGACCGATATATCCCATCTTCGAACTTGACCTGCCTGCAGACAAAAGACAACCCTATGCAAAATTTCAGCACCCTATCTCAATTCCTTCAGAAGATAGCGTGATTACAACAGACGGACGGACATGGCTAGATCGTCTTAGAATTTTACCCTGATCATGAATATATATACTTTATAGGGTCGGAAATGAATATTTCGAGGAGTTACAAACGGAATGACAAAATTAATATACCCTCCATACTATGGTGGAGGGTATAAAAAGGGGGTTATATGGGGACTACCCCAAAAAGGGGGCGAATATTAATAATTTTTGGTAGAGAGATTTGGTACCTATTAAGAACTCAAAATACTAAATTACAGCTAATTCGGCGGAAAAATACGACCAAAACCCCCAAAATACTGAAAATTAGGAGGTTCCGTTATATGGGGGCTACCAGAAAATATGGACCTATACTTATAATTTTTTGTGGAGACATTTAGTATCCAATAAGAACCCAATGTACCAAATTTCAGCGAATTCGTCTGAAAAAGGCGCTCAAGAACCCTAAAATACCGAAATTTGCCGGGTACCCTTATATGGGAGCTATGCCTAAACGTGGACCGATATATCCCATCTTCGAACTTGACCTGCCTGCAGACAAAAGACAACCCTATGCAAAATTTCAGCACCCTATCTCAATTCCTTCAGAAGATAGCGTGATTACAACAGACGGACGGACATGGCTAGATCGTCTTAGAATTTTACCCTGATCATGAATATATATACTTTATAGGGTCGGAAATGAATATTTCGAGGAGTTACAAACGGAATGACAAAATTAATATACCCTCCATACTATGGTGGAGGGTATAAAAAAGGGGGTTATATGGGGACTACCCCAAAAAGGGGGCGAATATTAATAATTTTTGGTAGAGAGATTTGGTACCTATTAAGAACTCAAAATACTAAATTACAGCTAATTCGGCGGAAAAATACGATCAAAACC